GCACAGTACAAGGTGTTGGTAATAATCTTTAAAGCCCTACATGGCTTAAGTCCAGCTTATTTGCGGGAGCGTCTTCTTCCATACAATCCACCCTGCACACTCAGGTCCTCTGGAAGCAACTTATTACAGCCAAAGAAAACCAGGCGTGCTGCAGTTACCCAGAGGACCTTCTCATTGGCTGCTCCTAAACTTTGGAACAACCTCCCAGAGGAGATCCAGCATATTACAACTCTTGATGCGTTCAAGAAGGCTATCAAGTTGGATCTCTTCTGGCAAACATTCCCAGATTGATAGATGGACTCTCCCATTGTTCCATAAATTTGGTTGCTTTACTCATCCCACAATGCCTCATTTTAATGAAGGTTAATTTTAGATTGATTTTAGTAAATTGTCTTTATTTTTTAATGTTTTCTGTTTTAATCGGGGGCGTAGGGAATTATGTTTAATGTCATTGTGATATTTTATGATTGTTATCTGCCTCGATCCTTCAGGGAGAGGCTGGCTATAATTAATAAATAATAATAATAATAATAATAATAATAATAATAATAATAATTAAAAGGTGGCTTTCTAAAAAAACAAAAACAAAAAACCCAATAACATTGCATGGGTTGTATATTGTGCTGAACTGGGAGAGAAAGACGTGTTATTTGCCCCATGTGGGCATGGCCAGTGCCACAGAGTGCCCACATTTCTGGCCTAGTTCTATCTAAATTCTGTATTAAGATATGACTCTTATAGCATATCTTCATGCCGGGGTGGGTGACTGTGGTTGGGTGAGTTGTCCAGCTGTGCAACTGTGGTCCTGTCTTCGGACATGGCACTTTCACCCTTGCATACCTACCACTTTTTGCCCTGTGCCCCTTACAAGCAAAAATTGGCTAAAAAAACGCAACCAGAAATGACTTTCATTTCCAGGTCATGCATTTTTCATGAGGGCTAAACTAATCTACTGCTCTTTAAGGCCTCCACCCAATTTTGAGTAGAACTAGTGGTGTTCCAAGTAAGCCTATGAAGGCACAAAAGGGACCTGTGGACTGCATGTGGCCTATGGCATGCACTTTGCTCATTCCTATTTTAGTACACAGGAGTTAATTTCCTTTAATCCAGTGATGCTCAAAGTGGTGGTCATGGGCTAGTGCTGGTTCCTGAGAGTTTCCAGGAAAGACTGGAACAACTGTAGTCCATGGGGACAAATTAGTTACTGGTCTCTGGCACACTGGGGAAAAATTATCAGCCCTGCCTCATTAAGATAGCTTAAGATGCACTGCCTTAATCCGTTTTGTAAATTATAGGAAACAGGGATGAATACAGGATCATATTCTGGTCATAATGCAGCTATTGTGCTTCAGAAAGACTCTGAGCTTAATCTCATGTTGACTTTTACTTCAGTGGACCTCTCAATTTGAGATCAGCAGGAGTTTGGCTGATGAGGGCTGTAACAAGATTTGGCAGTTAGTGAATGAAAACACACAAAGGCAACCCAACATTACTGACAAATGAAACCTCGGTCCCTTGTTTTGGAGATGGGGAAGGATTCCTAATTCAACACAATGTACAAATCCAGGATAGCATCAGTGATCATAACTGGCTGGGCTTTCTCAAGACACTTGGAAGAAATGCTGTCCTATCTTGCCAAGGAGACTGGTGGCAGTAATTAGCTGTGTGCAAACAGTGTACAAGGGTTACTCAGTGGCTTCCTGCCTCTCATCCTGTGCAGCCTTGCAAGAGAGGAAAGGGGGAGACAATAAGTAACCCTTCTTTGCTGCTGTGCTGTTAAATTCCAGATGAACAGTTTTCAATTTGCTCTTAGACTTGCTCACCCTTCCCCTCCCCACCTCTAGCCATATTGTGTTACGTGCTATTATACAAGTCTGGCCGACATTGCAAACAAAGGTGGAGAGCAGCCCAAATCATATAACTGTAAAGACTATAATTAAGAGAGGAAAGTGCTTATTTTGCTTCAGAAGCCCACCAGCAATTCAGATTAGCTGAAGTAGCAAATCACTTGGCAATTCCTTCTGTGTGGGGAAAGATCTGAACTAGGTTAAATAGCTGCTTTTCCCTCCCCCAAGATGTGTAGATGTGTCTGACTTCGCTTTCCAAATTGCTATTTAGCTGCCTATGTGGGAGAATGTTACTTTTCCAGTCCTCCACCTATATCCATGTTGTACAAAGAGGGACCCTGAGCTCATGGGCTCAATTCTGTTCTCCAGGCATATACATTTGCTCAGTTTGATTGCAGACTGTTCAGGGCCAGGCTTTCTGTTCAGACTAGAAAGTCCTGAGAATTTTGACTTCAGAGTTCAAGATAATGATGATTATATTCTTTGCAACTATATTCCCTAATGTGGTAATTTGATTTGATTTATAATCATGGGGCCCTTTCACACTACAGTTATAGCACTATGATTCCCTTTAATTGCCATATTTCCATCCTGTGGAGTCCTGGGATTTGCAGTTTAGAGAGTGAAGGGTGTTTTGAATTCTCAGCCAGATAGCTCTTGTGCCTCACCAGACTATACACCTCAGAATTCCATAGGATGCAGCTGAAGTGGAATTATAGTACTATAATTGTATACTGTGAAAGGACCCTCAGGACTTGCTTTTTCATGTCACCACAAAACAAATGCTCAAACTGGAAAAAAACCAATTGTTTTATTTTAAGAGTGGAAGGCTATACAGTGGTCCCTCCACATTCACTGGGGTTAGGGGTGAAAGACGCCCATGAATGTGGAAAAACTCCAAATAAAACAACAACACTATTCTTTTTACCTGAGAGAACATCTCTCTAGGAATCTCCAAGCCCTCCAGTGCAACTCTGTGGTCAACATCTACCAGAAGTTGATCATAGGATCATGCTGGAGGACCTACAAATGCCTAAAGAAGTGTTTTTTTTTCTAGGAAATTATAGGTTCTCCAGCATAACTCTATGGTCAGCCTCTGGCAAGAGTTATGCTGGAAGACCTAGCGAATCCTAGACAGAGCATATTAATCAAAACTTCAAATAATCAAATCTGCAAAAGTCAAAGTTCTGCAACTGGAAACAGCCATTGGATGCAACAAGAGATGACAAGTACAATCTGCAAGTAAGGTTGACAGATTTGTATATATGATGTGCTCCTATAGTTTTAATCATTAACAGATCCTAGAACAAGAAGAGGTACCATAGAGGTTTCATCAGGTAGAACTTCCCATGTGGTCTTCAGCTTATTCCTCTTACCAAGACCTCCACCTAAGGTGGAGGAAAGGCAATGTGTTAGAACTCCTCTTTCCATTGTTGCTCTCCTTGTGGGAAATTCAAATGGCATCTAGAGCCACTTGCCCAGCATTCTCAATAACAGTGCTTGAAGCACTGCTGGCTAGGTGATGCTGAGAGCTGTAGTACTCATGGATCCTACTCTATAGAAGTCAGACACTTGTACTTGAAGTCATTTATTTTTCAAAGAGTTGCTCAGTCCATGTTCAGTTTACAGATAAATGACAATAACAGGAAAGGAGAGGGGAGACCTTGAGGTTGCACATTGTCCATGACCTGCACTAGGGGCACGAACTCAATGCCTAGATTCTTGAGACAAAAAGTACAAATGGGACCTCTGAATTTATCTGCAATCAACATCAGAACAGGAACTGGGGGAGGGCAGGCTGCAGCAGGCAGTAGGTTTGCTAAAGCTTCAGGGGCAATGCTTTTCTCAGTCTAGTGTTAGTAGCACCTGGCATGAGAGCTAAAATATCAATAAGCAAAAATTATCCAGAGGAAATTGGGAGCCTTATCTATTCAGCCCATCCTCTTCCTATTGTGGAGTCATTGTTTAGCACTGATCTCCCTTTCTTTCATATGAATTCTTGATGCTAGAGTCACCTGGTAGGTTATTATGGTGACTTTGAACAGTACATCAGATCTCCCTTCTTCCTGAAACCTGGGGAGCGAAGAGGCCATCAAGGATCAAGATAGGTTTGGGGATGGGGTTAGTAGATTCCTGAGCTGAGGCTCTTTGATCTA